AATGGGTGACATTGACACCATCGATGGTCACTTGACACCCGTCCCACACATACATCGCTGTCTTAATGTCGTGTTTCTCGGCAGTGATCCAAAGGGGTTCGCTTTGTGTCCACCAATGGGGGTGAGAGGTGTTGGGGAAGGGGGTCATGAGGAACAACTCGTGGGTCACGTTATCGTACATATAGTTCTGAATGAATCCGTGGTTCTCGGCATACCTTCCCGTCGTTATTGAATACCAATTGGGGTATGAATTCTCGGGAAATATTGGTTTCACATATTTGGCGGACACACCGTTTTGTGCTATTTTGGGAAAGCCTTTCAGAGTCTTATCCCGCGCCACATAATCCCAACGAAAGCCATCGACTAATATAATCAATAACTTTGAATTGTTTTCAGGATTTTTTGCCACAGAATTAGTGGCGGAATCACTGAACGAGAAGAGATAGAGAATGAAGAATAAATGTATTATGGGATCAATGCATGAGTTTATTATCAATTAGTTTTACAGTAAAAGTAGAAAATGTCTACAAATATACAGAAATTCAATAAAAAATGAGTTAAAAGTTGACATAAAATAGGTTGCGATTGAATGGATACAATCGGTTACTTCTTGAGATTAAAAGCTGCAGACAATACAGCGGTCGATTGCGAAGAGGGGGGAGTGGCCGCCGGAGATATCATCATTGGTTCTTCAGGATTAGCCGCACCGTTACTATTGGTTCCCTGATTTACATTCATTCTTCAAATAAAGTAAATGACAATTAATACGACAATTAGTGCCACAATTAGCTGATCCTTACCGCTCGAGAGCTGATCGCAAGTCTTTTGGTTTGAAACTATCCTTAATGAGAGTCAACACATCCCTGCAATTAAGTGGTTAAGTAAATGAATGGTCAAAGGGATTGACTTATATGGACTTTTTGTGGTCCAAAATTGGGAGAGAGAGCTATTAACATGTGATTACAGTTATAATTAGTAAATTATTAACTGATTTAGTTATAGAACACATCAATATGTTAGTATAAAATTAATAATAATTTAATATTAAATTATAATTAAATAAATACCTAGCTCACTCTCTTTAAAATGCCCGAAATGCATATAAGTGAATCCCTGGTCAAAGCAATCAATACATGCGTTAAATAATCCATTTGATCGCTATATTCCTCTGCGGTTAGACTCGACATGAAATGGATGGCATTAATTGTGTTGCTATAATGACTACTCTTGACAGCGAACCGGCTCTTCAGCTCATCACCCATTGCTGGTCTTACTCTTAGCCTTAATGAGACAATAAGTATAACTGTGGCGAAGGACTAACAACTGAGACTCACCTCTCGATACATTTAAGTCTATTATTCATAGAGTATTTCAGCAGTGATTTGTTGTCCGACTTGAGTCTCATTGCCATCACTTATCGCTGGAAACTAACAGTCCGTGAATCAGATGAACACTTTGTACGTGAAATAGTCAGACACTGAATGGTCTCTGAATGAGTGAGAACTCAGTGCCTATGCATACAAGCATTGAACCATTCGTACAGTAGATGTCGTGTGTGTTGTGTGCAATGCATGCGAGTGTATGAGTGTTGGAGTCTCACTGCGAGTCAGCTCTCAGCCCAACACACAGTACTGAATGTTCAGCCAAAGCAGACACTCATGTCAACACAAACAGTGCTAACAATTGGTGCGAAAAGTACAGCAAAACAACTGTTTTGTTGCCATCAGTTGTGACCATGTCTTCAACCAGACAACACACACACTGATCCCATATGACTGTATTGACCAATTTCACCTGGTTCAATCCAAGTAATCACCTCGATATTCATATAACTATTTTTGTTGACTATTTAGTTTTCATTTCATATGTTGTTTTCATTTGACAATTGTTTGCAATCAATACAACTATTATTACGTAAATATTTGAATAATATTTGAATACATATTGAAAAAGTAATTATAAATATGTGAATATCCATTGAATTGAATATCAATATTAGCAGTAATTAATGGCATTAATGAATGAGTGATTTCAATGTGTTTCCATTAATTAAATC